CGGCTCTGAAGTCAGGAGGACCTTAGTTCAAATACGGCCTCAGACCAAACACTTGACACTTACTAGCTGTGTGACCCTGGGCAAGTCACTTAAACCCAATTTCCTTTAAAAAAAAAAAAGGATTGAGTATCCTGTCTGGCTATCTAAAACATAAGCTTTGTAAATTTGGTAAACTTAGAGAATCATAGGATTATAAACTTAACACTATGGAAAGGATTGTTAGAAATGACCTAGTAAAAATCTTTAACTTTAAAAACAAGGAAACAGAGACTCAGAGAGGATAAATTACTTTGTCCAAGGTCATACAACAAGTATGTGGCAAAGCAAAGATTCGAACCCAAGTCTTCTGATTACAACACTAGTTTTCTTTCCACTGCACCATGCTACCTCCCACTTAATAAACACTATTTCATGCTCTTTGATTATTTTCCCTTTTCAATTCAACAAAAATATTTCTTCTTCTGGTGAATTATTAATATCTGTTTATGTAACTAAATACTGAGTTTAAATATATTCCTGCAGAGACTGGCAGAAAACAAAGGAGAGGGGCATTGAAAAGGCAAAGAATTTATAACACTGATTTTGTTCCTTTTTTTACTGAGTCTATTATTATAATTCCATTTCATAATTACATGCAAAACAATGCACAACAACAAAAGTATTTATATACAATGACACACCTTAGAAAGAGAGAGGAAACCTTCACTGGAAAGTACCTCCTGAGCATTTCTGTCCATAAACATACAGCACATACATGTGAGCTTTGGAAGCAAGTAGAGACTAGCAACATCAAAAGTCATGCAGACATTCTGAATGTTAAGTATGGTGCAGAGATACTCAGAGGTTGAATCCTCCAGTTCAGGAAATCCATATTTATGAGCCAGGCTTAGGAAGTCCAGCAGCACTTCCTCCTTCTCATCTGTCAGCGTCGCCCGTCCTGTGTAGATGTATTTAAGTAACATGGTAAATGCCTCCGCAGTGGTATCTTGGAGAGGGATTTCTGCTTCAGGCTGAGACTCTCGCATTCCACCATATAATAATGCTCTGCACACACAGAGAACAAATGCATAAGAAAATTACACCCTAATAGAATTTGCTACAGAATATTCAAAATACCTATCACTGGTATTCCACAAATACAAATGACAGAGCCATACATTAGAAAAATTCAAACAATATAATATAGTAAAATAATTCTACGAAGAGGTTATGTAAGACAAGATGGAAACTATTTTGAATTGATGCTACAAACAATTAAAATTTCTGAGTTATTCTAACAGTTTAACGCAAATACCAGACAATTGAGTATATAGCTGAAGCAGTTTCCCATGAGAGGGATAGGTGAACAAGCTAAAGGTTGATAAGGCACCTAAACTCTAAACTACAGTCTGCCCCTTTAAAATTTTACAATTAGAACACCAAAGATAGTCCAAGAATTTGTATTTCCACAGACTAAAAGCATTAGGATAAAATAATGTTATTATTTTAGATGTGATCAAAAAATATCAGCAATGGCTATTTTATGCAAAGAAAAATATTACAGCTAAGTACTGCCAGTTCTCTTAACTGTCATCAGATAAAATGTTGATCTCTTTTGTTATTGACTGTTATAATTCCAGGACCCAGAACAGCACAGCATGACCAAGGTCAACTATGAACCCTACACAGAATGAGGGGGCAGAGAAATAGAAGTCTCAGTTATTTGTCCTCACCTAACTAGAACCTGTTTTCTCTCATCCTCTGGGCCAGGCAACAATGTTTGCCCCAGGAAAATGATCAGCCTTATCTGGCACAAAATCTGACAAAAGGTCAGCCTGCCTTAAGACTCTTCACTCCAATAATCCACTCTCCATGGCTAAAAGTGACTTTCCTACAGCACAAATCTGATCATGTCACCCCCCACCCTTTGATAAACTCCAGTGGCTCCCTATACCTTCAGGAGCAAATACAAAATGCTCTGTTGGGCATTCAAAACTCTTTATAACCTAACCTCCTCCTGCCTTTTCCAGTCTTTTTACTTCTTTCTCCCTAACACATACTCTTCAATACAGTGACCCTTGCCTCCTGGTTGTTTCACGAGCAAGATATTCCACCTCTTGTCGCTGGGCACTTTCCTGTGTCTGTTCCCCATGCCTGGAACACTCTTGTTCCTCAGCTTTGCCTACTGACTTTCCCAGCTTCCTTTAAGTCTCAGAAAAAATTCTACCTTCTACAAGAACCTTTTTTCCCCCTGGCTGTCTCCTCCATTAAATTGTTAGCTCCCTGAGGGCAGGGAATGTCTTTTGCTTCTTTTTGTATCCCCAGCACTTAGCATAGTGCATGGCACTAAGTAGGTGCTTAATATGTGTTTAATGACTGACAAATTACTTCTCTAGCCCACCAACCTATTCCACACTTTCTCTTTTCTCAAGTCTCTCCAGCCTCTCAGCTGAGGAATTCACCTCATACTTTACTGAGAAAATATAAAACTAATGTTAGCTTTTCTTTCTCCCCCTCTACATTTCAAAATTAGGTGTCATCCCTAATTTTCTCAATAAAGAAGTGATCCTTTTCTATGTATATGGGATGGTGAGGGTTATTAAGTTCAGAATTAAAAAAAATAAAATAAAAAAGATTTTTTAAATTCTGAACTTAACCCTCACCATCCCCATCCCATATAATGACCCTTTTTCCCTGCCAAACCAAATCTAATCTCTCTCTCTCTCCCCCTTTCTCTATCTCTCTCCAATCTTCTACAGCAGATCACTCACTCAAACATCCTCCGAACTTCACTCTCTTCCTACCTACTGGTTCCTTCTCTGCTGTCTCCACACACACTCAAAAGTTTCCTCAACAATGAAAACCCTCACTAGATTCTGTCATTCCCTCCCTGGCTTTCTCCACCTCTCTTTGCACTATTTGTAATATGGCTTGTTCTTCCTCATTCAACTGAAGCTGTTCTCCTCAATATTACCAATGATCTTTTACCTGCCAGATCTGATGGCCTTCTCTCAACATTTATCTTTCTTCCCCTCTGCAGCATCTGGCCCTGATGCCTACCCTCTCCACCTGGCTATTCTTTCTTTAACAGATCTTTGTGACAGTGTCCACTCTTGGTCTTTTTTCTCCTACCTTTCTGGCTATTCTTTCTCAGTATCCATTCCTGGTTCATTCTCCACATTACACCCCTAACTGGGTGTTCCCCAAAACCCTCTCCTGGGCCCTCTTCTTATCTCTCTCTGCTCTCTAGTGTAGTGACCTCATCAATTCCCTTAGTTTTAACAACAGTCTCTAGGCAGACAACTCCCAAATCTATGTATCTAACCTTTGTCTCTCCCAAGCTCTAGCCACATACAGCCCCAAGTGCTTATATTTCAAATTGAATTTTCTTTGGCTGTCTCAAACTCAGCATGTCCAAAACTGAACTCATAATTTCTCCCTCAAGACTTACCTCTTTCCAAACTTCCTTATTTCTGTTAAGAGTACCACCAATCTTTCAGTCACCCAGGTCCTCAAGCTTAGCATTATTCTTGACTCCTCACCCCACACAGCCAATTGGTTGACAAATCTTTCCATTTCTACTTTCACAACATCTCCAACATCAGTTGCCTTTTCTTTACTCACACCCATCCCTGTCTCTCCTCACATAGTCACCATCCTGGTTCAGATCCTTATCATCTCTATCACTTAAACTAATACAAAGCCTCCTAATTGATTCCTCTGCCTCAAGGCTCTCACTTCTCCAATCTATCCTACACACAGCTGCCAAGGTACAGACCTGACAATATTCCACTACCCAAAAAATTCTAATGGTAACTTATTGCCTCTAGGATCAAACAGAAATTCCTCCAGATGGTTTTTAAAGCCCTTCACAACCTGGCCCCAAACTACTTTCTACATGACTTCCCTTTCCGCGCTACCATCTAATGAAAATGGCCTTTTTGCTGCCCCTCACAAATAATACTCTGTGTCCTTCCTCTTTGCTCCTTTGCAAAGGCTGTTCCCCAGGCCTAGAATATACTTCCTCTCCTTACTGCCATCTCTTAGAATACCTTGTTTCCTTTAAAACTAAGTAATACCTTCTATATGAAGTCTTTTCTTATCCTTCCAGGTGTTAGTGCTCTCCCCAAAAATACTTTCACCTTGTATTTACTCTCCTGACAGTATGTAAGCTCCCTGAGGGTACAGACTGCTTCATTTTTTTCTTGTATTCCCAGTGCCTACCATGGTGACTGACACATGGCAAACACTTAATAAATGCTTGTTGATTAACTGATTACAGTTTGTATATGTTTATAAAAAGGGGAGCCAATTTCAATATGGAACGTTTTAAAACAAAAACAGATGTGGTATTTCTTCTCATTTTCAAAAATTTCAATTTTCCCTGATAATTCCTTCCCTGACAGTTGTTTTGCTTGTAACAAACCCTGAAAGGTCTCACTAGTACAAAAGATGTCTAGTCTAATAATATGCATAAAAAGGCTATGTGTGGAAACCAAGTCAATATTCATATCTAAAGAACCCTGACCACAGTTCTGATTACTGACCCCTTCTCATACTTTATACCCTTCCACATACTCTGTAATCCAGCTATGCTGGCTTCCTTTCTATTCCCCCCACACAACCCTCCATTTCCCAGCTCCATATCCTGGATGCATCTGTGTTGTGGGCCAGGATACTGTAAAGCTGGGAGGAGTGAGATACCATTCCACCCCTCCTCACCACACCACTGGGGACTGTTCCAAGCAAGGAAGTTGTGTTGCAGACCTGGAGCTATTAGGGTTAATTTTTCCCCCAATTATATTGATCTGGGCCCCAGTTGTGGGGACCTGCAACAAGAAGGCATAAAAGTAGTTTTGACAGCTTTGATGAGGAACTCCTAAGACCCCAGAAAATCTCTTCTTAACCATCTTTTAAATTTCTTACCTGTGTTTTTCACTGGTTTTTATCCTCAGGACTTGTATTTAACTGCCGTGAAAACTAGTTCTACCTGAGGGTATTAGAATATGTTTTAGTAAAAGGATTGTTTCTTTGAGCCCTAGAGTTCTGAGTGATCCATATATCCAACCTGTCACCTTCTAATCTCTGCCTCTTCTTTCTCTGGCTTTCTTTAAATCATATGTATAGATATCATAGTTGAATCCATCACAGCTGATGAGCTCACCAAATAGAGTTTTGAGAGAGAAAAAAAGAGGAACCAAGATGGAACCTTACTGGAATCTGAATGGAACCACTATTCATGGGCTATGAGGCAAGGATGATGATCTGGCTAAGGAGACTGAGAAGAAGCTATCCTTCAGACAGGTTAAAAGAGAATGTGGAAACAGCAGTGTCACAAAAACCCAGAAAGAAAAGAATAACTGGGGGGGGGGGAGATTTAGAGGAGTGGTCAACAGTGTCAAATGCTAAGTATAAGGACTGAGAAAAGGCCATGGAATTTGGCAATTCAGAAACTGTTAGTAACATAGAGTAATTTCAGTTGAGCAGTGGGGATGGTAGTAAGCCTGTAAGGGGTGGAAAAGTGACTAGAAGGGGTGAGAAAGTGAAAGCAATAAGAACAGAAAACTTTTTCTAGGAGTATGGTTGAGAAATGGACCACAGCTATAGAATTCAAGTTTAAAGGATGGGAGGATCAAGTGACAGTATTTTGTTATTGTTACTGTTGCTGCTGCTGTTTTGTTGTTGTTTGTCCTTCATTCCTGAAGAGGACCATGACATCAGGAAGATGACGCCATGACTTGCAAATGAATTGGATATAAGTGAGGGAGGGCTGTGCAAAGTCACCAGCCTCACTTTCTCCTCCAGAGCCATCTGGGTCCAATGGCCAGATTTAGATCAGGACACATAGAGATGGCTCAGGAACATGTTTTCAGGAAGTAAGGAAGTAACCAGCGGATAAAGAGATTAGGAAGAAAAAGGAGATGACCAAAGGTGCAAATCTACTCAAGGTTGATCTGTATGAGATGAAATTTTCATGTTTAAAAATACTAACTTACTTCCTCAAAAGGTTTTAAAAAATGTCAAATAGTTTTCTTCACAAATTGAAAGAAAAACATGTCATAAATGTCTTCTTGTAAAATCTATTAAAATGCTTATATCCAAAAAGTTAAAATTCGCAAATCTGCCATAGTTGGCATTCAACTTTTGCACGTTGACAGAAATCAGCTGCCTCCCCTCTTGCTAGCACTCATATGCAGAAGACGAAACTTTCTGAAAATGGGATAAGGCATTATTGGAATTATACCTTAAGAAAGAGAAGCAACAGGAAAAATTATTACCTGGAGACAGAAATCTTTAATGGAAGTATCTAAACAATTATAAGCATAGTTAGGTAAATGAATGGAAAGAGACTCCTACTATATTGCTGACTCATAGTTAACAATGATTCAAAAACATCAAGTTGCAGTTTCCATAGAAGGGTATCTGAAATTTTAGTTAAGCTATCAATATATTCAGATTTAGATAATGATCTTTCCTGGCCAATACAATAATCTCTCTAGACACTCTTTATCCTCTTTTACATTAAAAATAAAGTGCATAATCAAGGGCAAGTTATCACAATGCCAATTTTTTCAGTGATGCTCTCTTCTAAGTCTTACTAGTCAGTCATAAGTACAGGGAAATTTTATTATTTATATAACTGAAAATAAGGACTTGGAAGTCACATAGCCAATGAGTGCATAAAAGCATAGGTAAGATTTTAATACTGTTTAAAAAGACTGTATAAAATCTGGTGAGTTCTTGGAAACAGAATAACTATGTAAAGAAGTGAATCTGATTTTTTTTGTTCAGGTCTCAGTCAACAATGAGTTCTCTTCAATTAAAAGTTATGGGACTATCTCTGAATCCATAGGACTAATATAAAGGAGTCTGATAAACTGCATAATGTTCTTTTGAGTTTGAAACCAAGAAGCATATATGTATACATGACACAACCTAACTTCTACGCGCTAGCAAATCAGGAAATGGGTCAACGTTCCTTGAAATACAGAGTTAATTAACCAATTTATTATGGAAAGAAGTTCTGGTCAATGAAGATATTAGGTACAAAGGCAGAATTTGCCTTTCTACTCCACCCCACCCCACCTCATTTTGAAAAACCTGACATTCATCAAGTTAAGACAGTTTAGGGGTAGTCTGGTTTGTACACAAAGTCATCCCTAACAAGACATACCAGCAATATGATTCTAAGATGGCTCTAGTAGGAAACGTGGTTGTCAGTATCCATGGATTTGGGGGTATATTAATCTACATATTCAATGAAACAGGAAGTACTAATATTTTCCAAAGTTCATTTTAATTCTGTAGAAAATATTAAACACTTACCGAAAATAGTGGCACCTGGCAGCTAGAATCACTCTGTGGGCTGGAAAACGTGTCTTTTCCACTATAAATGTGACATCGCCATATTCTTCCCCATTTAACAAGGCACCAATATTTTCAGACAAGATATGCACATGATCAATTTCTCCCACAGCAGTATAGGGGCGGAGTGGATGGTTGTTGCTCATTTTGTAGAACAGACAGTATTCACTGATCTATTTTACAAAGAACGGATAAGAATTAACAAAAAATTCCATTCTAAAAACAAACACACGTAAGTCACAAATATAGAACTTTTTTCCACAGATTATACAAATGAAAAATTTCACAATCAATCAAAATGTCAGTAACTCTTTTATCCTGTGAATCAGCTATGCTTTACTTTTGAAAGACAGTTCCATTAGTTCTGATTTGGAGCAATTTCAACAATTTAACAAACATTATTAGGTACCTGTTTTGTGCATGGATAGTACGACAGAAAGAGTGGATATACAAAGACTAGAAATGACAGTCCTCATCTTAAACATATCTACTGATCTAAAACGGGATAATTACACAAATTGAAATAACAAGCACACAGGAAATCAATTAACAAGCACTTATTAAGGATTTATTAAGCCAACTATATGCCAGGTATTATGCTAGGCACTGGGAATACAAATATATAAAAGAATGAGTCCTGAACCTCAAGAAGCTTACATTCATTAAAAAGAGACAACACACACATGCATGCATGTATGTATGTACATATAAATATAGATTAACTGACAGTAGAAGGTACTAGCACAGCTAAGAACAAAAAAGACCTCAGGGAAGCTAAGACATAAGCTGAGATCTGAAGGAAGTTAGGCATTCTAAGTGGCACAAGGGGAAAATGTATGCCAGACACTGAGGACAGCCAGTGCAAAGATATAAAGACAGGAGATAAAATAAAGAAAAGAAAGAAGGCCATCTTGGCAGGACTCCTCAGATGTCTCATTTCCCACCCAGCGGCACACATTTTAGACTTCTCTTGCTTCTTCATCATCCCCCCTAGTAAATTCATCACTCCGAAATTACATCATCTAGCGAGATCCAATCAACCTCATTACTCACATCTCATAAGTACCCTCGGCCCTCTGACTGAAAAGTGGAGCCACAAACTCTTCTATTTAAGAAGGGGAATAGGACTGATATCCCAAACACGTGCTCATTTCCCACATGGTTGCACTCATTTTGGACTTCTTTGGCTGGCTTCTTCACCATGCCAGATACCCTTCTTCCCCCACACCCATTTCAACTTTCTTTTCCATGTCATCTTCCCCCATTAGATAGGGCAGGGACTGTCTTTTTCATATTTGCATCCCCACAACTTAACACTAGTGCCTCACACATGGCAGGCACTTAATAAATGTTTAATGACAACTAATTAAAGAGTATATGAAAGAGAAAATTGTATTACAAGGCTGGAAAAGTAGACTGCAGTAAGGTTGTAAAGGGCTTTAAATGACAAACAGAAGGGTTTATGTTTTATTCTAAAGGTAATAGTAGTCACTGAAGATTCTGATCAGATCTGTGCTTTAGGAGTATCAATTTAACAGTCTTTATTAGGATGGACTGAAAACAGGAAAAACCTGAGGCAGGGAGATCAATTAGGAGACTATTTTAATAGTCCAGGTGACAGTAAATGAGTGTTTGAACCATGCAGTTGGTTATGGGAGTGAAAAGAAGATATTGGTACAAGATTTTAGGGAGTTAAAAAAAAACAAAAAACAAATAAGACTTGTATAAATACTTTGATTCATTTCAAAGTAGCTGGTTGATGGTCTCTACAACCATTATGAGATACATAAGGGTATGTTTGCTCCTTATACGTTCAAAACTACAAGTGTTATCCTTCCTTACTGAGAAATATAAAATTACATTGCTTGCTACAGAACAGATATATGCTACACATAGCAACAACAGTAAGGTTTCTCCTTTGATTCTCACTCTGCTAGAACAATCCAGGGCCTTCCTGCTACTGGCCAGGCAATTTAAAGCAAAGTTCTCTGGGAAGTATCATAGCAATGTTGACTGGCTACTACCCTATGTGCCAATGTAGTTTTAATTGCTTCTTGTTTCCTTTTGTTTTCATCCCTGATCCAGTCAATAAATTTTGCCCCCATTTTCCCAATTAGATCCTCATAGAAGCATGTCCACTTGGGCCCAAACAATTCCATACTACCTGGGATCACAATTAAATCCTTCAACATCCCCCTTGATAGCCAACCTTGAGTAAACTGGGAAACATTCAAATCCCATATTCTCACCCTACTCAAACCAATGACAATGCCTAAAGATTCAAAAACTTAGACATGAAGGAGAGGTATTAGATAACATCTTGTTTCCACCAATAGCTATTCTGTAACCTTCACCACCCCGTTCCCTCCACACACATCCCAAATCTTGGACGCCATCTTCAGAGCTGCCATATAACCATACCAATTTAGAAGTGAATTTGGAGATTTGCAGCATCCCCCTCTTGTCTCTAACTAGATATAAAGAATATCTTTTAATAAATCTTTTTTGAAAACATACATCTTCTGTGTACGTTTCCTCCTCCTTTTCCTTAGTACAAATGCTAAGTTGCTATATAATCTCTCAATTGACAAGGTATTTATACCGCCAAATGAAGGATTTGAAATGGAAAGGAAAAACTGATTAAGTCTTGTTCTCACTTTTAAACTCTGACAATTCAGATAGCTCTCATTCCACCTGCTGCAGTGAGTGACTCTAATCAAATGGTGAGGGAGTGTAAGAAGTTGAGGATAGGATAAGTCCAACTTTGCAAACCTGCATGACCAGGATAATGCTGCTCAACGGTTGGGGAAAGGGAGGGGGACAATGTTAGATAATGAGTTCAGCTTTAGATATGTTGAATTTGGAATGATGATGGGACATTTTGTTTGAAATAGCCAACAAGCAGGTGATGATGCAGGATGGGTGCAAGAGAGGCTAGGGAAGGATCTACATATCTGGGGGTCATCTACACAACGATGATCACTGAACTCATCTGTAGTAGAAGTGTTACGTACCAGAGGTCCCTCCCATGTAGGCTAGGTGAATTTTTCAAGGAAGCTACCCCCAAGACTTACTTGATACAAAAGACAAAGGGTCAATTAAACCTTAGACCAGGCTTCCCCATCATCTAAGGTCATAAAAGAGGCCAGCCCACATTAAGCAGTCTTGGCAATGTCTCCCCATTATTAGAGTCACCCCACTCTGCTGAGCAGTTTCTGTCTGGAAATGAAGAGACCTGGATAGTCTAAACAAGTGTATCCTTTCAGTAACAGGGTTGAGAGGAATGAGAAGAGAGAAAGTTGAGATTTTTTTCTAGGCACTTGGCTGTGATAGAGAGAAACAAATATAGAGTGAGAGCTTAAAAGGACAAACAGGGGACAGGGTGGGTGGGGGTTTTTTTGTTTGTTTGTTTGTTTTTTAGGAAGGGAGGAGACATGGATAGTTTAGAAAAGAGGATATGAGCATAGGCAGTGGAAATATTAAAGATTAGAGAGAGAAGGTAGATGATTGTGGAGGCAATTCGCTGCAGATGAGAGGGATGGAATTAAGTGCTTTGGTGAGGAAAAGGGTCACATCTTACAAAGAACCAGGATAAGAGAAAAGAGAGATAATTCAAGGGGTTCGGGGATGTAGATCAGGGAGGAAAAGGGGCTCCTGGTAAATGCCTTTATGTTCCATATAAAGTATAAAGGAAGGGATAGCTAGATGGCTCTGGACAGAACACTGGCACTGAAGTCAGGAGGACCTGAGTTTAAATCTGGCCTCAAACACTTCCTAGCGGTGGGAGCCTGGGCAAGTCGCTTCACCTTTGTTTACCTTAACCCACTGGAGAAGGAAATGGCAAACCACTCCAAAAATCTTTGCAGAAAACCCCATGGACAGTATGGCCCATAGCGTCATGAAGAGGTGAACACAACTAAATGACTCAAAGACCTGTAGAGAAGGTGCAGGAAGAGGTGTGGATGGCTACCTCTCAGAGAGCAGAAGACATTTGGAACAGCTGTTGTTGGAGTGTATGAAAGTCAATTGGGAAAGAGTAAAATAAAACGAATGTCTCGCTGCATCAAGTGAACCCAGTGACTTCCTGGAATGATTTCCTTCAAAACTACTTAGGGTATGCATGCAAAATGTAAGGACACTAAAGAATTCAAAATAACATTCCAGAAAAGACTGTCAACTATTTTGGCAAATACGTGAGTAGGAGATTAGTAATATAAAAGAAGGTATAAGTAAGGTGAATTTTAGGGTAGGTAAAGTGGATTTTTTATTATTCTTTCTTAGAGTTTTCTTCTCAGGATTCATAGCCGTAACAAACTCTACTTCCCAGGTATTAGATACGAGTTCTCACGATCAAGGTTCAAAACAGTTTCTACTACACAGTCAGTAGATATAGGAGTGACGTAATGTAAAATTGTGAAGCTATTGCTGGCAAAATGCCTTTTTTGTCTGTTGCCCTATAAAGCAAGTGGGCACTGGTCAGTGACCCCCTTTCACTCTGGCCCCTGCGGGAAGGGTTGTTGGGGAATGCTGTAGGAGTTGGTGCTCCCATTATCAGCAAACTCTCTTTGAGAAGACTAGACTAGAATAAAGTAAGCTTATTTAACCCCTTACTATGAATCTATTCTTGTCTCCCTGGCTGACAGGTTCAAAAGTGAACCTGCTAGTGAGAGAGGTGCTAGAAGCCCTCCTATGTCTCCTACTCATCCAACAGAAGGTTAGAGAAAAACTCTGAAGAGGCTTGAAACCTAGGCTAAAGTGTTTTGGTTTTTTGTTTTTTGGGGTTTTTTTTTTTTAAATCCTATAAGCACTGCAGAGCCACTTAATGGTCATGAACAGAGTAATGATGTGATCTGACCTAAGGATATTTTATCTGTAGCATGAAGGAATCACAAGAAAGGAGAGAGACCTGTTAAGAGGCAATTAAAATAGTTTAGATAAAAAGTAAAGAAGGCATGACCTAGACTAGTGGAGTGGAAAGAGAAATGAGAAGGGTGTGAGAAATAACATGTTGATAGAATCACCAGAAAATGATTTAGAGGTGATGGGGATAAAAGGGAAAAATGGTCAAAGGAGGTAATGTACACTAAAGAGAGCCCCAAGTTCAAATCTTATTTCTTCTGGTGCTTGCTAACTATGTAACCTTAGACAGTCACTTAACCTCCCTGGATCTCAG